TTTTCCATCATAGAGCGTGAATTTTGGCTAGTGAAAACCAACGGGGAGTGGCGTGTTCTCTATCTCAAGGGAAAAAGAGGTGGGGCTTAGACTTGCTAGATCCCTATCTGGTGGTACGTGCGCCACCAGGTGCGGCGGTGGCATTATGACCTCCTCAATAGCACGACCTCTGGGGGCCAACCGCTGCAATGCTGACACCCTTTAAGCCTCTCGTCAGCGCGCTCGCTCCTCTAATATATCCCTCAGATCTCCCGATCGATTGGATTATGAGTATCTCAACATCGTCGACGGATGTGAAGGACAACAGCTGCTGTCTCAAGTATGAGACAGCCAATGCAACAAAGTCGTCTGCTCTGAGACTCCTCGAAATGGAAAGTGAAGAAATTGGCCGCCTACTCCAACTGCCAGAATGGTGGGACTGGGTGTGCTCACTATGGTTTCCCACTCCAACAACATCCTTTCCTTTCAGCTGGCGCTTCATGGCCTCCATCACCGTTACCATCTTTCTGATGATGGCGTCTTCATCCCTCAGCTTGCTCTCCAAGTGCTGAGTGTGTGACTCTCGTCGGCGACGGCGCCCTTCTGGGCTCAATGAGCACCTAGAACTCCTTGCGCATTTGTCTCGCGCGTCTCTGACGGGCCCTCACATGGAGGTCTCCAAACCAACCATTGTCGAAATGACGAGCAAGTCATCATGCCGCAAGACGGACTTTGGCATAATGCTGTCAATATTGAACTTCAAAACGTCGTCGTTGTTTGCCATGGAAAGTGATCATAAAAGCTTGAAGGTCAAGGCTTTGTCTGTTGGATTCCCACAAAAGGCGCCAATTGTACAAGGAGCAAATATTCTTTGCTTCCGTAATCCTTTCGTCCAAGCCTCGCATTACTCCGAATGATGTCATTCAACCTGAAAACATGACAACGGTGAGATACCAAGCAGATGTGTTGCCGGAAAATCCCTACGACGATCAAGTTAGCACCCTTAGAGAGCGAAGAAAGACAAAAGCAAATGTAGCTGTGTAAGGAAAGTTCCAAACCTTATGCATGGAAGCGCCGCAAGGCTTATATAACTTGTGTGTGCACTACCTTGCTCGCCCTTTCCTGGACGCGTAGATGTACTATCCTCTTTTCACCTTACACGTGTACGCGTCAATATTGCCAAACAGAATTGACAAAACAACCAAATAGTATTGACACATACAGACGGCGGGTTCCTTTCCTCGCACTCCAATTGGGCCATGTAGTATGCTACTACCGAGCTAATTCTACCTCGGTCAGCCTTAGATATACTCAAAATTGGAATGGCTCTTCCAAGTTGTCGGGCACGGTTTTCCCAACCTGGCTTGCTTAGCTAACAACTCAGTTAAGCCTCAAATAACCCTTTCGTCAGAACTCATAGCACGGTCGAGAGCCTCTTCATCCTCTCAACCTTAGCCTGGCCATGCTCTGGAGATGCCGATGTAACTCGGCTAAGATCTTTACCTCGGTTAAGAATGACGTTCTCAACTCGCTTACCTCGACCCATAACTTAAGTCTGTCTTATTTGAGGACTTTGCGGCCCGGTTGCTAGGTCAAGAACAGGGCCCGAACCTGATTTTGCTTGGCCCATTTGTTCGGCACAAATTCCCCTCTCAATGTATTTTGTACTAAAATTTAAATTTAAAAAAAAATCATAAATTGAGTTTTACAAATCAATTTTTAGCAAAATTGATATATGTAGGTTTTTCTTTTCAATTTCTTTCAAATAAGATCAATATTAAGTTTAAAATTTCAAAAACAAATGCTAATATATTGATTTTTTGGTTAATCAAAACAACAAAATAATATTTTAAAAAAAGCGCTCGAAATCGCCTTTTGCATTTTGAAAGGATAGATCCTGAAAAAATACATGGATTAAAGAAGATTTTTTTTTTTTCTAAAACGAACTACCAAGCGTAAAGTTATTAGCTGTTGAAGTTTTAACACTTTTTTTTTTTCACACCTTCATATAGTTATTTGATCAAATCATTCAAATAGCTATCTGTTCAAATCATTTATGGTGTTCAAATTTGAATAGGTCATAACTTTATACTCAGTAATTTGTTTTGGACGATTGGTTTTTTAATCAACAAAAAGAAACTTTATTAATAAAATCAATCATACATCAAATACAAAGATAAGCATCAATAAAAATAAACAAGTGCAAAAAGTATCAAAGCTTAACTATCAAAGCACCAATGATCCAAACATTCCCTAGACTTTAGTGTGTGACTAATTCAATGGTACAAAGTTAAATGCTAGAAAATTTATTTCTAATGGGTAATGCTATTAAGTAGTTCAATACTATAGTTCCTATTATTCCTATGATTGGATCATTGTCTAAAGCGAATTTTGTAATGTGTTAGGACATTCCATTAGTAAGCCACTCTGGGCCGATTTATCAAATTTTGTTTTTTACACTTCCAAAAATTCAAGGACTCAATCATATGGATTATATAAAGACAAGATTTCCAATCTTAGCACGAAAATGAAAGAAAGGGACTCAACTTAAAGTGAGTTAAACAAATTTCATACTTGATCTCATAAGACAGAATTATGTGGAAATTCGTATTCGATAAAACTTATATGTAAATCTTGGAAGGAGATCTTTCATATATTTTGAAATCCACCCTACAATATGATGTAAACAAGCCAAAAATAAGTTATTTTAGTCCTTATAAAAAGAAATCGAATTTTGAACCTCTTTCATGCTCATGTCACATCAAGGTACTTCAAAACAAAACAAAAAAAATACAAGATTTGATCAAATTAGTCACAATTGATTAGTTAACATGTTAGTTAGCCGTATTCTAAAATACGGAGGTGAGCGTAATTTACCTTTATTTATGTATCTTTCGTTATGACGTTGTTTCTTGAGTAGTCAAAATTTTTAGCGTTGAACTTCTAATCTTATGCTGTTGATAACTGATTGTCCAGTTAAGGTTAACATAATTATCGTGATATTTACAAATGTAACTACTCTCTTACTGAACAATGTCACATAATTCTTAGTTGGTGCAATAGATTATCCTGAGAACGTTGTCCAAGTTTAAGCCACAGAAGGGCAGCTGCCTTGGTTAATTATTTTACTTTTCTTCATTCATTTATTTATTTTCATGCTTCTAAAAGAAAAAATTTTAAAAATAAAAGTCTTTAAAATAACCATCACTTTCATATCATTTGCATTTTTGTCCAAAAACAGATTCTCAAAAATTGAAAAGCAATATTTTAGTTTTTCTCAAAAAGTTGATATTTCCAAAACAAAAACAAAAACAAAAACAAAACAAAACAAAACAAAATAAAATATCCTATAAATTATTTACCAAAAAAATTCATAAAAAAGGAAAACAAAACAGGCCATTCAACATCCCGTTAAAAGAAGCGTTACATTGTTGAACAATCCCTCAAGAATCCGTAGTTTTTCTTTCAAAAAAATTCAGAGGTTTTAATGGGCAAAATGGGGCACCCCACACAACTCTATGAGTAAGCTCTAGGATTTTCCATCAAAGTTTGCCCAAAAACATAAAATCGCCTTTTGCATTTTGAAAGGATAGATCCTGAAAAAATACATGGAATAAAGAAAAAAAAAATTTGTCTAAATCGAACTACCAAGCGTAAAGTTATTAGCTGTTGAAGTTTTAACACTTATGTTTTTTTAATAAATGAAGCACAGGAATCCATCAACTTATTGCTAGAATGTAGTATTTAAACATTTAAGCAAACCACAAATAACTTGCCACAAAAATTTAAAAGAGCATAAAACAAACGAGTTCCTGATAATGTAAAACACAGACACGCTTGTGGTCCTCCTAAAGGAATTCAAAGCTCTGTTTCACTTTTCACTGCCATTCATTGTTTATTAAATGGAAATGGGAAGAACACTCAAAGGAACTTCCTGTGTGGCCGCCCTGCATCGTTATCTTGCATATGCTGTCACCATAATACATGATTTTACCAAAATATTAATATTCTCATTATATCTGCAAGGGAGGTGAACCCAACAACTTCAAACATAAAATGCAAGCAAACTATAGCTATACAAAAATTAATGAATCATTTATTTAATCTTCAAGATAACTTGAATAATTTCTGCCACTGTATTATTCAAAAAATAAAATAAAATATATCATAAAGCATGTAACAGAAAGGAATTGGTGAGTAAATACTTGACTGTTTAATATTGTCTTCATATTTGAAAGATACCCAAACTAGGCTTTATGTCTCAATCAAATGGTCCGTTATATGAATTCCTTTTCGTCATTCTATTCAGGCAAGAACTATATGCTCAATTAAATTAAATAAATTCATATCTATTCTTACTATTGTATCCCATATTAGTTTGGTCTTCTCCTACCTCTAACATTTCCAATTACGGTGATCATATCACTCTTCCTTATCATTGCATCTATTATGGTTCTTCATTGTATATGAACAAACCATCTTAATTTGTTCTCTTTCAACTTATCTTCAGTTGGCGCTACTTCTACTATTTCATAAATATGACCATTTCTAATTCTATCTTTCATAGTCTTACCACACATTCATCTAAGCATTTTTACCTCAGCTTACACTCAATTATGAACATGTTGTTTCTTAGTTGTCTAATATTCTGTCCCATAAAGCGTCGGTAGTCATATAGTTGTTCTATAATTTTTTCCTTTTAATTTTATGGGTATTCGTCAATCACATAATATGCTAGACGCACTTCTTCACTTGAGCCAACCTATTTTAATTCTACGAATCACATCATCTCCAAGCTCACCATCCTTCCTTAATAACAATCGAACCTAGGTATCGAAAATGTTTACTATATGTTATCTCTTGATTTTCAATCTTTACTTACTATTACTAATGTCACATTTCATATATTCAATTCTAATAATTTTAAACCAATTTGACTCTAGTGTTTCTCTTCAAATTACTAATTTTGACTTTTTTTCCTTAGTTTCATCCACTAGAAAATATCATATGCAAACAACATATACACCATGGGACATCATCATAAATGTGTCTAGTAAATTCATCTATGATTAAGGCATAGGTAATGACTCAAAGCTAACCCTTGATGCAACCATTCAGCAATTGAAAATTCTCGAATTTCTCTTACAGTTGATCTAATCATAGTCACTCCATCAACATGTCTTTTATTGCATCAATATAGCCTTTGGTCACACTAGTGTTATTAAAGGTGCACCTGGGCATGCAACTAGGCCCAAGGCTTATCAAGGCGCAATTAGTGCCCTTAGGAACATCTCAAACCATGCGATGTAAATAAGCCCCATAAAGACACATGAAGCTTGCGTTTTGCACTTAGGCTCAAGGCATACAATCTGTGCACTTATTCTAAATATTTGTTTATTACAATTACGACTTTTGATTTCACTTAATCTCATTATTTTTTTGTTTACATGCAACAGTAAGGGATTTACAATCTCATTCTCCTCCTCCCTCTCTATGTTTATCTTGTAAGACCCTTCAATTTTGTCGTTATTTACAAATGTTTATGGCTACGAGTTCGATATTTGTATTTATGTGCAACCTTGAATTATTTGTCTATGATAAAATATTAGTGTTTGTTGGTATTTATATTTTTAAATATTTAATATGATAATTTATTTAAATTTAATTATTTTCTTATCATAAATTATCTATTTTTTATTGTCAACTTGAGCCTCACTTCAATGAAGTTCGCGCCTCGCTTTCTGCCTAGGCCCTAGGAAATCTTGGTTTTTCAGTGCACTTGTCACCTTTAATAACACTGGGTCACACATTTTTTCTCCAATATCCACCATAATATCTCTAGGAATCCTATCGTAAGCTTTCTTCTAAACCTATATAAGTCATATGTAGATCCCTCATTTTCTCTATATTTTTTTCTATTAATCTTCAAAGTAAATTTATTGCTTCCATAGTTGATCTACTAGGTATAAAACCATATTGATTCTCTAACACTGTTGTTGTAATCCTTAAATCACTCATTCCTATAATTTTGTTATATGACTCATTAACTAAATACCTCTATATTTGTTGCAATTTTGATCATCTCCTTTATTTGTTATATAGGTAATAAAATACTTTTTCTTCATTTGTCTATGAGAGACTTTAAAAAAAAAAACCTTAAAAGATGAATACAATACTATCAAAGGCACACATCTCTGTGGCTTCCCCACAACCAGAGGGAATAGGTTACTTATTCCTCATAAGGCTTATCTTGTGCATCCTTCTTTTGTATAGGTGTTGGCCCTTTTTCCCATTCTTCTTATAATTGGATAGGGGTTTTAAAAATATTTTCTTGAAAGCGCTAGACGTACCCATCTTCACATCCAAGTCCTTCATTTGTTGAAACTTCTCTTCAAGTCTTTTCCTATTTTTCTCCCATGATGAAGGTTCAGCCACACCTAAAGGGTTCAGGTTGGGAGAAAACTCTTTTGTTGACTATGTTTGCTTGTTCTTCTCTTCCTCCCTCCTCATCCCACACCTACATAAAAAAAGAGTTGGAAATAGAAGCTTCCACTCCATCTTTCCTCTTATACAAATCAATAGGAGGAAACTTTTCTTTCCCCTTCTCCTTGAGTATGCTTGGTTGACCGATTGGTACACAATTTTTCCTTTCACTTCCTCTTTCCTTTCCAAAACTTTGGGTGGAAGGGGAGCTTTTGAAAAAAGGGTGCAATTTTCAGTGGCATGGCCGAAAATTATGCATTTGTTGTATATTTGGGGATTCCGCAGAGCAACCACTTTGATAACCTTGCATAATTAAGTCTTTTCCTAGAGTGAGCAGAACCATGAAAGGCTAGAGGTGTGCCCAAAATATTCAAGTAAGAGCAACTCAAACGTTGCTCTTCATTTTTCACTAGCTAAAGTACAAAGGAAGTAAGCTCCTTATTTTACCTAGCTAGTTTTTCATTATGTACTCCAACACTACTCTTTACTTTACCGATTTATCCACAGAAATTGTTTGAAGAGCCACTCATGGCTCTCCAAACGAAGCTAGCTCGGAAGAGTTTTGTTAAATAGCTATTGTAGTAGCTAGCCCATTGGAGAGACTAAAATAGGATGAGACTAGCTATAATAGCCAACAGGCCTCTTTTAAACGGGCTCATTGGAGATGCTCTAACTTAGTTGATCACCATGCCATACTTGCAGCGGAACATTTAAAAGATTCATCCCAATTGGCACCCTTGAGAAATGTTGTTTAGTCAATTCAACTTTGGATGACATCTCTTCAAAACTAGGGGAACACACCCACAATTTTAAGGACCTCCTTGAAGAATCCTCTGAAGGACTTCCTTTCCATTCAATTTTAAGAGATAACATCACATAATGACAATATATAAGTTATACGATCATCCATCCAAGTTTTCATAAACGAAAGTTTTCTATCAAGAAAATAGCCAATCTATGTATATTGGCATAAGGACTATCCTTTGTTGAGAAATTTCAGTTGGCATATCAAGGACATAATATTTAGGCTTAAGATCACATTGGTTATACCTCCTGATGACGAAAGCAGTTAGAGGAAGTATTCTGCCCCCTAATGAGGAACACACAAGCACTGTAGTGATGAGTACCCTCAAAGCCACCGCTGTCGTCTCCGCTAGACCTATAAAGCCTGTTGTTCCACTTCGCACACAACTCTAAGGCCTTAAAACTCTCTGGAAGAGAGTTTTTCTTAGCCAAATAGAAATGATGGGGAACACATGGGTGTTGGATAAGGGTAATAGTAAACATTTTGTTTATCTAGGAATTATATTTTTTAAGAAGTTGAGTTTGTTTAGGATTAGTTTCGTTTGCCTATATATATGGCATTTACATGACGGATTTATTGGACTTTATACGATATGAATATTAATTATTGAATAATTGAGATTAAGATAATTTATTTGGAATTGTGATCCCTAGTTTATTCTTCGTTGCTTCTCCATTCTTCTTTCTATGGATGCTACATCACTCCCCTCGACACATGAGTTACATTCAGCTCCTCATCCGAAACACCAATCACCATGACATTGTTGTTTTGGGTGCATTCCACTGGTGTATCATAGAGCATCTTCATTAGAATCAAAAATCAATGGAGAGTCTTGCAAATTCAGTCGAAAGGCTTCATCTCCATAACATCTCCTTTCCCTTCTTCACTAACTTCCCTAGACAATTGTTTATTCTCCCTAGGAATAATCTTGGATATCTCAATTCTAGCTAACAAGAATCTCTCCCACCTTTGAGTTTCTTCATTGTAATCTGCAGATTCTTTCAGCTTATCTAGATGAAATTCCTTGTCTAGACTCTTACTAGTAGATACCAAATCGTGAAGCTCCTTCAAGGAAAACCTTTTTGCTGAGCCAGATATCATCTTCGACAATATTCTTTTTCTCCTTTTTGAATTTTTCTTTTTCAAATCACCAATATTCGTTGTTTCATTCCCCAACAAAATCACATGCAAAAGGGTCCTTCAGTGGTCCTCTGGGACACATAGATCTCTAAGGAGTCAGCACTACAAGCGAGAAAATTTTCTCGACAAACAACATCAAAAGAAATTGTGCAAGGAAATCTTCTAGATCAAAGAAATTGAGAAATCAGTCACAAAAGATATAATGATAAGGATCTTTGTGTGTCTTCACCCCTTGAGTCACATGTCTTCTAAAATAAACACCTATGTTTCACAGCAAGTTATGCTTTTGTGTCAATCCAAAAAATAAACAAGAAAAAAACTGAAGGGTGCAGAGATTATTAATTGAGTATTGAAGGTTTCATGACCAGAGAGAGAGAGAGAGAGACAATTACCCTCGTATCGTATGTGTTCTAGTTTTGTTTATTTTTAATATGAGAAAGCCTTAAAGCCAAGGTTTTGCGTAGTTACAATATTACGACTATTCTTCAAGGAGCCACTATAATATTTTATAAATAATGAAATTTGTCTAAAGCAATTGCAAATATAAATATTTATATAAAATATACATATACATATTACAAAAGTCTAAGAAGCACGGACACTTCTAAGAAGGTGATGTATCCATGTCGTATCCGTGTCGGACACCGACACTCTTTAGGCACTTCCCCGACACATGTCTGACACTCTTCAAAACGTGTCCTATTTTTTAATATTTTTTAAAGACCCGGACACTTGGAGGACACACGTCTCTATCTCTTAAACACATGTGTCTATTGATTAGACACATGTGAAACTAATTATAAGTTTGAACAAAACAATTTAAGATACAACAATAAAACAAAAACCATATAAATTTGTAAAAATTAGTGTCAAGTTGCATTTTTTATTATCTTTGAATGATATATTCATATATATACCATATAATAAATATAAAAAATTATACATTTCATGCATATTCCCCACGTGTCGTGTCCTGTCCTGCATTTTTTGAAAATTAGCGTACTAGCGTGTCCGTGTCGTGTCGCGTGTCCGTGCTTCTTAGACAAAAGATAAGTTTGCAAATAGAGCTTTTGGTTTGACTGGTTGATCCACAATGCAAATCCCACGATAATTATAGCAAGATAAATACTTTTTTATGAACTAACAATTGACCTATGCAAATGCAGAGATAAAAGAAATATTTTCGGCAAAATTATTTTAATATTATTTTTAATCAGCAAAAAAAAAAAAGAAGGAAATTTTCAAAAAATCTGGTTGATCCACAATGCAAATCCCACGATAATTATAGCAAGATAAATACTTTTTTATGAACTAACAATTGACCTATGCAAATGCAGAGATAAAAGAAATATTTTTGGCAAAATTATTTTAATATTATTTTTAATCAGCAAAAAAAAAAGAAAGAAGGAAATTCAAAAAATAAAAGAAAAACAGTATAAATTGAGAAGAACCAGCAAACGACCAAAACGAAGCATAAAAAGAAAATGCAAATCACACAACTCTCCAATCTCTACAAATCAAAAATTGGGGAATCTCCTTCAAATGAGAAGAAACTGACACCTAAAAGGAAGACAGTTAATAAACCCAATCCCGAAGGAGGAGAAATTGAGACCTAAAATCATAAGCCTCTAAAGCCTAGCTTCAGAGATTCCCGTGTTCTTTCTGACCAAATCATGCAAAGGTGGCACAGATAGTGCAATTCAACTTATTATGAATAAACTATCAATTAATGAGGGTTTGATAAATCTTAATCACAACTACGACACACAGGTGCGTGAAAGCAGGCACAAAAGGTTTTAACAATGTCTTGAAAGGCTATGAAATCTTAGGGAAACAACCACGTCACACGAAATGCACACACAGAATGCCCCATTTCACAATTTGCATCAGGAAATAATCTATTAGATTGAATTGTACCCCATTTATCAAAAAACAGTTTCAGACTCCCGTCCCATGTGCAAGCGAAGACGAGTCTAGAAAGAAGCCTAAATTCCAGGATTCAGTCATCACATCAAGTCAGTCCACCCAAAGCTTTAAAAGGCCAATTCAGCAGCTACAGAAAAACTTCAATCACAACACAATTTTGTGACAATTTCCACAATAATAAATCTATAAACACATAAACCAAGCTTTCAATAGTCATATGAAAGAAATGAAAAATTAGGGCACTATCGGAACCAGATAAGGAAATTAAAAGACAATAAAATTAGGTAAAACCTAGAACAATATATGTATATATATAGACGTAAAGAGCAAGAGAGGAGAGAGAGAGAGAGAGAGTACGAAATCTCGGACGATGCCCTTGTAGACGAGGATGGGGATGGCGATGCCGAATAAGCCAACGAGAGCAAAGTTGCGGCGGGTCCACCTGAAGTTGAGCTCCAGGTTCTCCCTTGCGCTTCCCCACTCCTCTATGAACCTGTTCTTGTTCGTTTCCATTCCTCCTCCCATCTTCTTCGATCTTCTTCTTCCTCTCTCTCTCCCTGTTTTTCTTTTACCCTTTTTGTTTAGGTCTTACTGTTCGTCTCTTCTCTCTCTCTCTCAACACTCTTTGACGCTACCGCTATTCAAAACACCAAATGGATGGAAAAATTATTGGTTGATTTGGAGCGTCACGTGCCATGCTCTATACTAATTACTATAATTTATCTCGTTTTTTTCCGTATCTTAATTACTTAATATAAATTTATAAATTTTATTTTATTTTAGGAAAAATTGGCCTAAAGTCTCTTCTCTATTTTTGATAGGAGAAGAGTTCCAAAATAATATGTTTTGATGGCTAAGGTCCCTCAAATTTATTTTGGGTTATAAAGTACCTAAATTACCCTTCCTTTATATCATAAATTTGTTTGAATATTATATTGTTGACTTAACTGATAGATTTTGGAAACCGAATTTGCAGTGGAGATTTTATCGGAGTTTTCGTCGAAGATTTCAGTGGAGATTTCATGGTGGAGATTTCGTCGGAGATTTCAGTGTAGTTGATGAGAAAGATCGCTACGATCGTGTAGATTTCGTTTGAGATTTCGTCGAAGATTTCAGTGGTGTTACAGTGTGTTGATCGTGTAGATTTTCAGTGGAGTTAAATCAGGTTTGTTTTCGATGGTGATACCACATGCATTTTGATTTTTGTTTTGAATTTTTATTTAGAGAGAGGTCAGTTTGATAGAGTTGATTTTTATTTTTGGAATTAATTTTTAATTCTTTGTTTTTTAATCAATTTCAAAGAGTGTTGACAATGTGTTGATCGCATAGGTTTTTGAGTAGAGTTGAATCAGGTTTGTTTTTTATTTAGATTCCACATGGATTTTGATTTTTGTTTTGAATTTTTGTTTAGAGAGAGGCCAGCTTGATAGAGTTAATTTTTATTTTTGGAATTAATTTTTCATTCTTTGTTTTTTAATCAATTTCAAATAGTGTTGACAGTGTAGGTCATTTTGATGTTTAGAGTTCATTTTTCGTGCTCTGTTTTTTATCAACATGCTGATCAATGATAAGTTTTGTTCTATGTTTTTTCAAACCAGAGAAATTTCATTTTCTGCACTTTTGTTTGTGTAGTCCAGAGAAAATTATAAGTGCGTATGGACATATTATTAGAAGTTTCTAATGCAGATAGAATATGAGAAAGTGAATGTAAGTTCATAAATTTCTCTGGACTTGTATTTGTAGTTCAGAGAAAATTGTAAGTTTGTTACTCACTTTCAGTTTGTAGTTTAGAGAAAATTATATGTTTGTAGAAGATGAATAGAAGTTTTTGTTTCTCTAAGCAAAAGTTATTTTTTGTGTTTTTTCTTTCAGTTTAGATGGACAATGCAGTGTTTTTTGTTATCTTGAAGGTGTATATAAGTTTGTAAATTTCTCTGGATTTTTCTATGAGTGCAATATTACAGAATGACGCATAGAAAATTGTTAGCTTGTAGTGAGGTGAAAATTATGGAGAAGTCTATAATTTCATAACAGATATTCTGTGTGATTTTTTTCTATGATTGTGTTTAATAATTAGCAGTAAATTTCTCTGTGATTCATTAATTTTCTGTGATTTTGTTTTTTATCATCTTGAAGGTGAATATCAGTTTGCAGATGTCTTTGGACTTTTATTTTAAGTTCAGAGAAAATTATAATTTTTAGAAATTTCTCTGGACTTTTATATTGTTCTTGTGAAGTGTTTCTATGTTAAACAAATTATTTTTCTTGTTTTTTGTTTCAGTTTCAATGGACAGTGCAGTGTTGTTGCTGTGCAAATATGGGAATGATACTATTGTCATTAATGTTTCATGCGAATTGAATTTTGAGGAATTGGTTGACATTTTGTGTAAAACATGGGAGAATTTGAAACCTGAGACTATGAGTTTGTCATATTCTATTTTGGGCCATCAGAATTGTATGGTTCGAAATAATATTGATTTTCTGAATATGTTGAGGGTTGTTTGTGCACGCGGTGTTGATATAGTTGATGTTTCAGTTACTAGATGTAGTACTTCTGATGAAGTGGGGTCTAATTGGGTAGATGTTGTAGATGGTGAGTGTGATAGGCTGGTGGATATTGAAAGGAATTCACTCTCTAAGTTTTGTTCTCACCAAGAAAAGGTGTTATTGTCGGCTAATTGACGGAATAATATTACGAGTGTTGGACAAAAGTTTGAGGGTGGTGTGGTTGAGTTCCGTACTTTTTTATGCAAGTATGCCATTGAGGTGTTGAGGATTATATTGAGGTTGGTTTTCAGTTTACGTATGTTAAAAATGACAAGCTGAGGGTTACGGCAGAATGTGCATATAAGGAATCAAGGGGATGTATGTGGCGTGTACATGCTTCTGTTGAAAAAACAAATAGGTTCTTCTACATAAGGACTTTGAACAATGAACATATGTGTGGTGTGGCGGTTCGTACGAGTAAACATTCGAGGATGACTTCCAACTTAGTTTCTGGGCTGATACTTGAAGAGGTAAGTGCAAAACCTTTAACTCGTCCAGTGGATGTTGTGAAAGATATGAAAGACAAGTATGGGGTCTCAATCAATTATAACTGTGGTTGGTTGGGTGTTAAAAAAGCAAAATGTAGTACATATAGGGATTCTTGTTTGTCATTTGATCAATTACGATGGTATTTTGATGAGGCATGGAAGAACAATCCAGGTAGTCGTTTTGAGTTGGATTTTGAAGATAACAAGCATTTCAAAAGAGTGTTTATGGCTTTTCATGCATGCATTGCTGGTTTCAAACCATATGAAAATTGGAGTGATGCATATTTTGCGGGGAAACGTTATGGTGAGATGTATTCAAATGTTGCTAAGTCATTCAATTCATGGATACGAGAAGCTCGGCACTTGCCAATAACAAATTTGGTGGACATGATACGGTTGCAAATTATGAATATGAGGTCTGATAAGAGGCTGCTCTCTAGTAAATGGAATAAAGTTCTGTGTCCTCGTATGGATAGTGTATTGGAGAAGTATTTTTTGGATGGAAGGACATGGAATGTGAGTTTGTCAACTGATAATGTCTTTGAAGTGCATTGTTTTCCTTCGGCTATGGTTGATCTTGGGTTGAGAACTTGTTCGTGTCGAAAATGGAAAATAAATGGGTATCCATGTCAACATGCTGTTGTTGCAATTTTTAGGAGTGGAAGGAATTTGAATTCATTTGTTGAACCATTTTTTCATGCTGATATGTATCGTCAAGCGTACTTATAGCGACCCCGGTCTTTTCACATTTGATTATTGTATCCGGACTTAGGTTTCGTGGATTCTGTCATTGTATAATTGTTGTTGTTGTTGTCCCTTATTTTCTCATTTGGAATTATAGGATGTGTTGGACAGGTTTGTTTCAGGTTGGTTGGGTTTAGAAACCGAGTGTTGCTTACTCGTTTTCGATTGGCCTAGTTCCAACTGTTGAAAAACCTCTGTGTAGCATTGAAGATGCTATGATTTTACCTCCATTGAGCAAGAGACCAGCTGGGAGGCCAAAGAAGAACAGAATTGCTTCTACTGGAGGGTTTAAAAGAGTGATTAAGTGTAGTCGGTGTAAGAGTATTGGTCACCATAATAAGAGGACATGCAAGGAACCTTTGTTAAATAGTTGAGGATAATACATTTTATTGATTGAATAATACATTTGATGATTAGTTTGTGTATTTCGTTTTGTGAAATGTGTTTTTTAGACAGTGTATATAATAATATCAATCAAATTCATCCAGAGAAATTTGTGCAATATCAGTTAAAGTGTGCATTGTGTTTGTTGATATATACTATAGGCAGTGGGTTTGTAATACCTGTCAAATTCATCCACAGAAATTTTCTATGGCAGAGAAAATTTTGTGTAATGTGTTTTGAAGCTTCAAATTCATCCAAATAAATTTGACAATGGCAGATAAAAGTACTGTGTGGATTGTGTTTTTTGAATTTTATAATTGTTTTGTACTAACACAGTGCATTATAGATTGCATGATCATATAGGTACCTTCTTTGGCATGATACGAGTTAAATTTCTCTATGAATTTCTGGTAACTTCATATCAGGCATTTCAAGAAATGTGCACACCAGACAGAGCATACACAAAATTATTGCAGCGAGTACAACCAAGAAACAAAATTAAGCTCTTTTGAAATTTCTCTGAGTTGAGAATTTCTCTGGACCAGGGAAGAATTTATCTAGAATGACTTCAACTCAGAAAATTTTCTCAAAGCCAAAGAAATTTTCCTCACCAACCCAGAGAAATTCACAACTCAGAGATTCCATTTTGTGTCACCATTCGAATCCATCAATTTCATCTGGAAAAATTTTCCACTATCAGAGAAAATTATCTAGGCATTGTGTTTTGAAATTTCAAATTCATCCAGTGAAATCTTCCAGTAGCAGATAAAATTACTGTGCGCTTTGTGTTTTGTTGAGTTTGATGATTGTTTTGTACCAACACAAAGCATTATAGATTACATAATCATATAGGCATCCTCTTGGGACGATACAAGTTAAATTTCTTTGTGAATTTTTGGTAATATCATACCAGAGAAATTTCTGCAGACAATTTTCTCTGTGTGGATTGTGTTGACAATTACAATAAAAAATATATATATATTTAACCATCGATAGGTATGAAATTTACATTAGTCGAAATAAAAAAAAAATGAAATTTATATTAGTCAAGAAAGGATGTATATGGATAAGTCAAGCATCATTATTCCTTCAATGTGTCAACAAAAAACTGAATAGTTAATACTGTATGGATGTATACATATATGTGAGACAATTTTCTCTGTCTGGCTATGTACATTGTCTTCCTTTCACTAGTTTCACTATTACATGTTTGGTTCTTCTGGAGGTATTGCAATTGGTTCAGTCCATGATCGGCCAACTTCGGTCACAAATCTCTCTATGAGTTCTGTCCTCATCAACCTGATCTCTTGTGTGGATAATTTGGAGCTGATAGGTTCATGTTTGCTATATTGTTTCATTATATAGCAGACAAAGAGGCCACAATCCAGACGGCATACAAATTATAGGTATGGTTAGTTTTAAGAAACATGCAAATCAGATTATCTTATTTATAGAT